TTGAGGCTGCTGTTCTGTGTCAAAGTGATTTAGTCTCTCAGGCATTAAGATGCTTCATTCTTAATGATGTAATTTGAACTGCAAAATTATTTCGCCTAGTGACAAGGATGTTCGCACTTCATTGGCCATGGAGACTAAAGCCTGCCTCCCACACAGAGCCATTGGCTAGCTGCGCCATCTCTCCAAAGCAACCTCGGGCTGTGTTCCCACCCACTTCAACTACCTCCAGCTGTGCCATTTACCTGCATCCCCGTCAGGCTATGTCCGACTGGCCCCTTCCTTGCACTGGACAATGGGGACTTCTGCTGATTTATAGATCAGGCAGCCTCATATTGACCTGGGAGACCAGAGCCTGTTTCTTATATTCAGCCATTAGCTAACTGCACCTTCAGTCCACAGCTTCTCAAGCTAGGCTTTGGCTGCCTCACTTCACATGGCAACGGGGTTAGTTACTACCTAGTAACAGTTTACCGTTACTGCCATAGGCTGAAGAGACAAACGCCCAACTTCTCGTGCATTCATTGGCTAACTATTTGCAGCAACTCAGGTCCTTTCCACCCTGCACATAGCAACAGGGGCTTCTCCCTAGAACCGGCTGCTTCATCCCATTGGCCACCAGAAACCAGATCCCACCTCCCCGATGCAGCCATTGGTCAGCTGCACCATCTATCTACAACCCCCCCCCCGATTTGGTCTAGACAAGAAATCTCAAACTGCTGGTTTCTATGAACTCTGCTGCCACCACTGCTCATCTGGCTGGACCTCGAACTTGGTCATCTGTTATCTAATCCACCGTCAATAATTCCCTTGTCAAAATCTAAAATCTAGGCCCCTGTTAACATTTTCACCACTTCTGGACCAACTTCAAACCCCATCTTTTTTTTTTTTTTTTTTTTTTTTTTTTTTTTTTTTTGAGACAGTCTCGCTCTTTCTATCGCCCAGGCTGGTGTGCAGTGGCGCGATCTCGGCTCACTGCAACCTCTGCCTCCTGGGTTCAAGCGATTCTCCTGCCTCAGCCTCCCAAGTAGCTGGGATTACAGGTGTGAGCCACCACATCCAGCTGATTTTTTTATTTTTGGTAGAGACGGGGTTTCACCACGTTGGCCAGGCTGGTCTTGAACTCCCAATCTCAGGTGATCTGCCCGCCTCGGCCTCCCAAAGTGCTGGGATTACAGGCGTGAGCCACCACGCCCGGCTTCCCAGCAGTATTAATTTAGTCTGACCTCAATCTAGTGCTCTAATAACTCTTCCACCATCAATGCCTTTCTGGTATAGCTTAGCATTCAGCCTTTGACTAACTATTCCCCCAGCAATGCCCCGCTGACCTGGAGCCTGAATCAGGCCTATTCATTTTTCCACCGTCAATGCATACTAGGAATGATCTCAAACTTCACCTCTGTGAACTCTTCCAACATTAATGACCTTGATAAAGACTACCAAGGTCACATTTCTAGTCCCGAAAGAAATGGGTTTATTAACCTGCTGCAGCAATGAAGACCACGCCCCACAGGAACTGTGGGGATGTCTCACCTAAGGTAACTTAACTTGTTCCAGTTTGCCCAGGACTTTCCTGCTTTTAGAACTGAATGCCCTTGTCCCAGTAAACCCCGTTCCTAGGCAAACAGGGATGGCTGATCACCTTAGTGTCAATGAACAAAGGAAGGAATGGGATTACTATAAGATATAGGAGTGGAATTTAGGTAAAATGTAAATGAAGCAGTGTTTTGACAAGCCCAAAGCAAAGGAGGTTGGTATGGAAAAGGATCAACATTAGGTTCAGACTGTGAAGCAGACCTAAGGTCCTTTTTCTTTAGAAACACAAAAGAAGCTGGGTGCGGTGGCTCAAGCCTGTAATCCCAGCACTTTGGGAGGCTGAGGCGGGTGGATCACTTGAGGTTAGCAGTTCGAGACCAGCCTGGCCAACATGATGAAACCCTGTCTCTACTAAAAATACAAAAATTAGCTGAGTGTGGTGGCACACACCTGTAATCCCAGCTACTTGGCACACACCTGTAATCCCAGCTACTCGGGAGGCTGAGGCAGGAGAATCACATGAACCTGGGAGGCAGAGGTTGCAGTGAGCCGAGACCACACACTGCACTCCAGCCTGGGCAACAGAGCAAGACTCTGTCTCAAAAAATGAAAAATGAAAAAAAGAAACAACAACAAAAAAGAAACACGAAAGATAGGCTGTGTGCAGTGTCTCAGGCCTGTAATCCTAGCACTTGAGGTGGGCGAATCCCTTGAGCCCAAGAGTTCAAGACCAGCCAGGGCAACATAGTAATATCTTGTCTTTACAAAAAACGAACAAAGGTAGCTGGGTGATGTGGTGTGTGCCTGTAGTCTGTCAGCTACTTGGAAGGCTGAGGTGGGAGGATCACTTGAGTCCAGGAGGTTGAGGTTGCAGTGAGCTATGATCATGCCACTGCACTTCAGCCTGGGTGACAGAGTGAGACCCTATCTCAGCAAAACAAAAAAAAAAAAAAAAAAAAAAAGAGAGAAAAAGAAAAGAAAAAAAAATAAACACTAAACATAGATGTGAAGTTTTGACTTCAGATACCCATTATCTGAAGCTCTGCACCTGGGTCAGAAATCAAGGCTATTTCTCTGTGTCACAGTAGCTTAGATCCTCCAGGGAAGAGTAGGCGGTTTTATTCTTATTGATATTGTTTCAAACAGGAAAATTTCCGATAGTCTATGATTTTAGAGAACAAGGTTTCTCTGCAGGGCTAGGACTAGGGTAAGGTGAGGGAGGCATTTGCCTTAAGTGTAAAATGTAAGGGGGTATTAAAAAAACTCAGTAATCAAGATCAATACCATTTGATTGATTGATTGATTGAGACAGTGTCTCCCTCTGTCCCTCAGGCTGCAGTGCAGTGGTGCAATCATGGCTTACTGCAGTCTGGACCTCCCAGGCTCAAGAGATCCTCCCACCTCCTCACCTCCTGAGTAGCTGGGACTATAGGCACACGTCACCATGCACAACTAATTTTGCTTATTTTTTGCAGAGATGAGGTCTCACTATGTTGCTCAGGCTCGTCTCAAGTGATCTGCCCACCTCGGCCTTCCCCAAAATTCTGGGATTACAGGCGTGGACTATCGCGCCCAGCCAAGATCAATAACATTTTTTGTTTGTTTGAGATGGAGTCTCGTTCTTTCACCCAGGCTGGAGTGCGGTGATGTGATCTCAGCTAACTGCAACCTCCACCTCCCGGGTTCAAGCTATTCTCGTGTCTCAGACTCCTGAGTCACTGGGATTACAGGCACGCACCACTACGGCCGGTTAATTTTTATATTTTACTAATACAAGAGACAGAGTTTCACCATGTTAGCCAGGTTGGTCTCAAACTCCTGACCTCAGGTGATCCACCCACTTTGGCCTCCCAAAGTATTGGGATTACAGGCCTGAGCCATGGCGCCAGGCTCCTCTTCTCTCTTCTCTTCTCTTCCCTTTCTTTTCTTTTTTAGACAGGGTATCACTCTGTTGACCAGGGTGGAGTGCTGTGTCGTGATCTCTGCTCACTTGCAACCACCACCTCCCAGGTTCAAGCCATCCTCCCACCTCAGCCTCCTGAGTAGCTGAGACTACAGATGCACACCACCACACCCGTTAAGTTTTGTATTTTTGGTAGAGACGGGTTTTGTCATTTTGCTGAGGCTGGTCCTGAACTCCTGACCTCAAGTGATCCTCCTGCGTCCCCTTCCCATAGTGTTGGGATTACAGGCATGAACCACCATACCTGGCCGCGCCTGGCCATTTTCTAAGCATTTTTCTTAAAAAAAAAAAAAAATTGAAATGGGGTCTCACTCTGTCACCCAGGCTGGAGTGCAGTGGTGCAATCATAACTCCCTGCAGCCTCTAACTCCTGGGCTGAAGCGATCCTCCCACCTCAGCCTCTTGAGTAGCTAGGACTACAGGTGTGTGCCACCACACCCGGCTAATTTTTGTATTTTTAGTAGAGACGAGTTTCATCATGTTGCCCAGGCTAGTCTTGAACTCTGGATCTCAAGTGATCCGCCCACCTCAGCCTCCCAAAGTGCTGGGATTAGAGGTGTGAACCACCGCGCCTGGGCTTTAAGCATTTTTCTATTGATAATTTGCTAAAAAAAACCATTGGTTGTCCATGGCCCCGCGCGGTGGTTCACGCCTATAATCCCAGCACTTTGGGAGGCAGAGGCGGGTGGATTACCTGAGGTCGGAAGTTTGAGACCAGCCTGACCAACATGGAGAAACTCCGTCTCTACTAAAAATACAAAATTAGCCGGGCGTGGCGGAGCATGTCTATAATTCCAGCTACTCCGGAGGCTGAGGCAGGAGAATCGCTTGAACCCGGGAGGCGGAGGTTGTGGAGAGCCGAGATCGTGCCATTGCACTCCAGCCTGGGCAACAAGAGTGAAACTCCATCTCAAAAAAAAAAAATAGCCGGGCGCGGTGGCTCAAGCCTGTAATCCCAGCACTTTGGGAGGCCGAGACGGGCGGATCACGAGGTCAGGAGATCGAGACCATCCTGGCTAACACGGTGAAACCCCGTCTCTACTAAAAAATACAAAAAAACTAGCCGGGCGAAGTGGCGGGCGCCTGTGGTCCCAGCTACTCGGGAGGCTGAGGCAGGAGAATGGCGTAAACCCGGGAGGTGGAGCTTGCAGTGAGCTGAGATCCGGCCACTGCACTCCAGCCTGGGCGACAGAGCCAGACTCAGTCTCAAAAAAAAAAAAAATAAAATAAAAAAAAATAAAAAAAAATAAAAATAAAAAAATTTAAAAAAAGGAAAGAAAAACCATTGGTTGTTCATATGAAAGACTATTATTATTATTATTATTATTATTATTCCTAACTACTATCATTGTAGTGGGGCAAGGAGGGTAATGGAGATGGGGGAGTTCAAGTCTTCTCCATGGTAACCGCAGCATATCGGGAGATTGTACACCCTGACTCCTTTCCCCTCTTCTCCAGTGGTATCGCCCACGACGGGCACCTGTGTTAACCTGATTTCTCCCCCTCTTCCCAGTGGTATCGCCAAGGGGGGGATTGTACCACCCTGACTTCTTCCTCTTGCCCAGTGGTGGATCCCTTGAACATCAGAACACGCCCCATCCTCCCTGGGTAGGAGGCGCACCTCTGCTTCTTTAAAATTTGCCCAAACTTATAGAACCGAGTTCCAAAGACCAGCTTCTCCCAGAATCTTGCCCCTAGAAGGATTCTACCCGTGAACGCCCTCTCGCCCCCGCCTTCTGTGGAACAGCCCACTGTACGGAATGGGTGCTAAGATGGCCGCCCCCATGAGACACGACATAGCGCAGCCATATTCCTCGCCTGACAACGCCACTCATGGACCAAGTCTCCGCCGATCCGTAACAGGGCTGTGTTCAGTGAGTAGACTACAACCTCTCAGTTCTACTGATCGTGTGCAAAATCAACAGCCCTAGAAGGTGCAGTGTCGGGGTGAGGACAGGAAACGGAAATCCCCCTCAGAGGCCGTTTAAGCCTTCTTGGCGCGCGACGCTAAATGCAGTGCACGAGGTTTTATGGCGTGATAGTCGCTCAGGTGATTTTGAAGCTTTGTTGGCTTCGGGGGATGATGCGTTGGCAGTTGTGGTGTCAACTGGTGGGGAAATAAAGAACCTAATGAATGGGAATCTATGAGTGTCAGGGATGAGGGCCTCTGGAGTAGTCAGGTTTTAGATTCCCTGCTGTGTCTTGATGTCCAGCCTTAATAGTGTGCGCTTTGGGTTTTTCCTTTATCAGTATTCCCAGAGGTTTGCTAATTTTATTAACCTTTCCAAAAAAAACAACTTTTGACGTTGTTGCTCCTCTGATCACATATCTCTTCTGATGTACCTTTGTTTTCTATTTCTTTAATTTCTGCTCTTATCTGTACTGTTTTCTCTTTATCTAACTTCTTAAATTGAATGTTAATTCATTAATGCTCAGCCTTTCTTTGTTAAAGAAAATTTTAAGAGCATGCCCTTTTCCTTAAGAATATCTTTAGCTGCAATCAAGAATATGTTGTATACACCGTCTTTTTTTTTTTTTTTTGACGGAGTCTCACTCTGTCGCTCAGGGTGGAGGGCAGTGGCGCGATCTCGGCTCACTGCAACCTCCGCCTCCCCGGTTTCCAGCGATTCTCGTGCCTCGGCTTCCTGAGTCGCTGGGATTACTGGCGCGCGCCACCAAGCCCAGTTAATTTTTATATTTTTAGTGGAGATGGGGTTTCGCCATGTTGCCCAGACTGGTCTAGAACTCCTGGATTCAAACGATCCACTCGCCTCGGCCTCCCAAAGTGCTGGGATTACAGGCGTGAGCCACCGCGCCAGGCCGACTATTTTATATTAGTCAAAATTTTTCTCTTTTTGTAATCGTATAGGCCCACCTCCTTAAAATGTTTATTCTGGCCGGGCGCAGTGGTTTACCCCTGTAATCCCAGCACTTTGGAAGGCCGAGGAGGGCGATTGCTTGAGTCCAGGAGTGAACAGCCTGGGCAACACAGGGAGACTGCCGTCTGTACGGAAAAAAAAAAAAAAAAAGCTGAGGTGGAAAGATCGCCTGATTGCGAAAGCCTTGATTGCACCACTGCACTCCAGCCTGGATGACAGAGGGAGACCTTGTCTCAAAAAAAAAAAAAAAAAAAAAACAACAACAACAAAGTTACACTTACGTATTTTATATAGTTTTTGCTATCATTATTTATGCAATTTTGTTTCCATTGGCTCGTTGTTATTGTAGAGAGAAACTGTCTGCTTTTGACCAGGCGCGGCGGCTCATGCCTGTAATCCCCGCAGTTTGGGAGGCCGAGGTGGGCAGATCACGAGGTCTGGAGTTCGAGATCAGCCTGACCAACATCGTGAAACCCCGTCTCTACTAAAAATACAAATATTAGCCGGGCATGGTGGCGCTCGCCTGTAATTCCGGCTACTCAGGAGGCTGAGGTAGCAGAATCTCAGAATCGCTTGAACCTGGGAGGTGGAGGTCGCAGGGAGGTGGAGATCGCAGTGAGCCAAGATTGCACTACTGCACTCCAGCCTGGGTGGCAGAGTGAGACTCCATCTCAAAAAAAAAAAAAAAAAAAAAAAAACAAAAGAAGCTATCTGCTTTTATAATTTTACCTTGTATCCAGCCCCTTACATTGTATTATACCCTATGAATTTTAGTAGTCTTTTAGCAGTCTGGTAGGTTTTCTATGTATAAAATAATCTTATTGGCAAGAAAGCTACATTTTCATTTTCATTTCTTTCCAGTGTTCATGTTCACCCTAATTATTTTTTTCTTTTTTCTTTCTGCCTTTTTTTTTCTTTCTTTCTTTCTTTCTTTTTTTTTTTTGTTTTGAGGCAGAGTCTTGCTCTGTTGCCCAGGCTGAAGTGCAGTGACGCAATCTTGGCTCACTGCAATCTCTGCCTCCCAAGTTCAAGCAATTTTCCTGCCTCAGCCTCTCGAGTAGCTGGGATTACAGGTGTGTTGCCACCATGTCTAGCTAATTTTTGTGATTTTAGTAGACACGGGATTTCACCATGGTCTCGAACTTCTGACCTGCTGACCTCAGGTGATCAGCCTGCCTCGGCCTACCAAAGTGCTGGGATTACAGGCGTGAGCCACCTCGTCCGGCCTCTTTTTTTTTTTTCTTTAATAGAGACAAGGTGTCACTCTGTCGCCTAGGCTGGAGTATAGTGGAGTGATCTCAACTCACTGCAACTCTGTGTTTTTTGTTTGTTTGTTTGTTTGTTTGTTTTTTAAGGATACTGGGTTTTGTCATGTTGTCCAGGTTAGTTTTGAACACCTGGGGGCTCAAGGGATCCTCTTGCCTCGGCCTCCCAAAGTGTTGGGATTAAAGCCACGAGCCGCTGTACCTAGCCTGATTATTTATTTCTTTTCTTTTCTTTCTTTTTTCTTTTTTTTTTTTTTTTTCTGGAGACGGAGTCTCGCTCTGTCGCCCAGGCTGGAGTGCAGTGGCCGGATCTCGGCTCACTGCAAGCTCCGTCTCCCGGGTTCACGCCATTCTCCTGCCTCAGCCTCCCGAGTAGCTGGGACTACAGGCGCCCGCCACCTCGCCCGGCTAGTTTTTTGTATTTTTTAGTAGAGACAGGGTTTCACTGTGTTAGCCAGGATGGTCTCGATCTCCTGACCTCGTGATCCGCCCGTCTCGGCCTCCCAAAGTGCTGGGATTACAGGCTTGAGCCACCGCGCCCGGCCTCTTTCTTTTTTCTTTTAGAGACAAATTCTTGCTCTGTCACCCAGGCTGGAGTGCAGTGGCACCATCAGAGGTCACTGCAGCCTCCACCTCTCAGGCTCAAGTTATCTTTCTGCTTCAGCTTCCTTAGTAGCTGGCACTACGGGTGTGGACCACCACACTTGGATTATTTCACTTCTTGTAAAGACGGGGGTCTCACTTTGTTGCCAATGCTGGTTTCGAACTACTGGACTCAAGCAACCTTCCTGTCTTGGCCTCCTAAAGTTCTGAGATTACAGGCATGAGTCACTGTGCCCAGCCCACTCTAATTATTTCATCTTCTCTTGTGTGAGCTAGAGCCCACAAAACAATTTTGGGTTATAGCAGGCAGTACTAATTTTATGGCAATAGCTTCATCATTTTACTTTTTAGCATGGTGTTTCAGGGTTATGTTTCATAATTGATTTTTGTGGCATTTAAGTGATTTCCTTCTTCCCTGATTTCAGTTTGAGCTTACATTAGTAATGGCTGCTTAATTGCGTTGGATGCTTTTTTGGTGTAAGTTAATAGCAGAGTGTTTCCCCCTGTAATTTGTTGATGTAATATATAGCATTAGGCCAGGCGCAGTGGCTCACGCCTGTAATCCCAGCACTTTGGGAGGCAGAGGTGGGAGGATCACTTGAGGTCAGGAGTTTAAGACCAGCCTGACCAACATAGTGAAAACCCGTCTCTACTAAAAATACCAGCATTAGCTGGGCGTGGTGGCGGGCACCTGTAATCCCAGCCACCAGGGAGGCTGAGGCAGGAGAATTGCTTGAACCTGGGAGGCGGAGGTTGCTGTGAGCAGAGATTGCACCATTCCACTGCAGCCTGGGCGGCAAGAGCGAAACTCCATCTCAAAAACAAAAAAAAAAAAAAAAAAAAAAGAAAATACATAACATTATTAAGATTGAACCATTTTTTTTCTGGAAAGAAAAGGCTAAAAGCTTCCCAATAGAAGAATTTAAGAGGGATATTTCATCTAAGAGTGGAAAAAAAACAAAAGAAGGCAGAAGAAAGGATCGGCTAATTTCCTTTCATTTAGATTATCAGCTTTCCAGGTTTCCTGCCCTCACAGTCACCCACCAGGTCCCCTTGAACATGCCCATCACCTGCCCACCCCATGGGCCTTCAGCACCCTTAAGCACTGCCCCGGTTCTACTTCTCCTAAACCCAGATCTGCTTTGAACTTGAACTGAGGTGTAGGCTGGCTGAGTAGCAAGTGAAGCACCTGGTAGAGCCACTCAAGAAGAGACCCCAAGCTCATTAATTTGGCTCCAAATTTGATCATTTCATAATCCACCTTGGCTAATGCTCTGGGGATGCTGAACATTGTGGCATGAATGTGGGATGACACTGATGATACGGATACTGTCCTTTTAGGATTTCTTGGTGTCCCTGTGGAGCCATTGAGCCTTACCCCTTACTGGAGGCTGCAGGACCCTCTACACACAGACAGCTGTCCAGCACGGAAGGTGGCCTGAGGCCCAGGGTGAACATGCCAGCTAATGGGACATCACCCCAGGGATTCCCTGCCCTGATTCCAGGAGAACCTGGCAGATCTTTTGAGGTGAGGAGGAGGATCCTATATTTTTTTCTATATGTTGTTTTAGTTTATCTATTTTTAGTTAAATTTATATTTTGGGATAATTGTAGATTCAAATGCGATGTACCATTTACCTAGTTTTTGTCCCCAGTAGTAACATCTTGTAATACCCAGGATATTGACATGCAGAGCATTTCCATCCTCACAAGGATCCCCCATGTTGTCATTAAACAGACACAACCACTTCACTTCCTCCATCACTCCCCTCTTAACTCCGGGGCACCACTAATCTGTTCTCCAATAGTATAATTTTTTCATTTCAAGAATGTTGTGGCTGGACGCGGTGGCTCACGCCTGTCACCTGTAATCCCAGCACTTTGGGAGGCCAAGGTGGGTGGATCACTTGCAGCCAGGAGTTTGAGACCAGCCTGGCCAACATAGTGAAATCCTGTCTACTAAAAATACAAAAATTAACCGGGTGTTGTGGTGCGCACCTGTACTCCCAGCTGCTCAGGAGGTTGAGGCCGGAGAATCGCTTGAACCTGGAGGCGGAGGTTGCAGTAATCTGAGATCACATCACTACACTCTGCCTGGGTGACAGAGTGAGACCCTGTCTCACAAAAAAAAAAAAAAAGAAATGTTGTATTTGCTGGGCATGGCGGCTCATGCCTGTAATCCCAGCTCTTAGGGAGGCAGAAGCAGGAGGATAGTTTGAGCCTAGGAGTTTGAGACCTGCTGGGCAATATAGTGAGACCCTGTTCTCCATGAAAAGGAAAAAAAAAAAAAAAAGGACAAAAACAAGATACTGTTGTATTATTCAGATTGTACAATATGTACCTTTTGGGACTGGCTTTCGTCATTCAGCAAAATTCTGTGGAGATATCAATAGCTAACAGTATATCAATAGTTCATTCCTTTTTTTTTTTTTTTTTGAGACAGAGTCTCGCCCTGTCACCCAGGCTGGAGTGCAATGGTGCGATCTTGGCTCACTGCAACCTCTGCCTCCCCGGTTCAAGCTATTCTCCTGCCTCAGCCTCCCAAGTAGCTGGTATTACAGGTGTGCACCACCACACCTGGCTAATTTTTTGTATCTTTAGTAGAGACGGGGTTTCACCATGTTGGCCAGCCTGGTCTCTAACTCCTGACCTCGTGATCCACCTGCCTCAGTCTCCCAAAGTGCTGGGATTACAGGTGTGAGCCACCGTGCCCTGCCCATTCCTTTTTCTGCTGATACTTTTCCATGGCATGGATGTACCACACAGTGTAACCATTCACTGGTTGAAAGACATCCTGGTTGTTTCTAGTTGTTGGATATTATGAATAAAGATCCTATGATAGTTTGTGTAAGGTTTTTGTAGGGATGTGATATTGTGAAATATATAATGGTATTTCCTGGCAAACAACTCCTAATATCCTCAGAATCTCTAAAGTAGTAAAGTGTCTTTTTGTATGCTAATGAGTTGACTGATGCCTGGCAGTCCCTAGGCAGCTTCTGAATGGGGCTGGTCACAAGAAAGACTAAGGTAGGTTTAGAGGGTTGGGACCCTCCAACCACCTGGGAGGGGAGAGGGTGCTGACAGTCAAGTTGATCCACAAGGGCAAATGATTTAATCAATCATGCCTACATAATGAAGCCCACCTAAAACCCCAAAAGAATAGTTTGGAGAGCTCTGGGTAGCCGAACGCATGGGGATTCCTGAAGGGTGGTGCACCCAGAGAAGGCATGAAGACTCCAGGCCCCTTCCCCCATGCCTTGCCCTGTGTATCTCTTTATTTGACTGTGATTTGTTTGTATTTGTTTTTTGTTTTTGTTTTTGTTTTTGTTTTTTTTGAGATGGAGTTTCGCTCTTGTTGCACAGGCTGGAGTGCAATGGTGTGATCTCGGCTCACTGCAACCTCTACCTCCCGGATTCAAGCGATTCTCCTGCCTCAGCCTCCCGAGTAGCTGGGATCACAGGCATATGCCACCACGCCCAGCTAATTTTGTATTTTTAATAGAGATGAGGTTTCTCCATGTTGGTCAGGCTGGTCTCAAACTGCCGACCTCAGGTGATCCGCCTGCCTCGGCCTCCAAAAGTGCTGGGATTACAGGTGTGAGCCACCAAGCCTGGCCTGAATTTGTATTCTTTAAAATATCCTTTATTGGTGGGAGAGGTGGCTTATGCCTGTAATCCCAGAACTTTGGGAAGCCAAGGCTGGAGAATTGCTTGAGTCCAGGAACTCAAGACCAGCCTGGGCAACAAAGTGAGACCTCATCACTGCAAAAAATAAAACAGGTGGGGCACGGTGGCTCATGCCTGTAATCCCAGCACTTTGGAAAGCTGAGGTGGGAGGATTGCTTGAGGTCAGGAGTTCGAGACCAGCCTGACCAACACGATAAAACCTCATCTCTACTAAAAATACAAAATTTAACTGGGTGTGGTGGCGGGCACCTGTAATCCCAGGTACTCGGAAGGCTGAGGCAGGAGAATCACTTGACCCTGTGAGGCGGAGGTTGCAGTGAGCCGAGGTCACACCACTGCACTGCAGTCTGGGCAAAAGAGTGAGACTCTGTCTTAAAAAAAAAAAAAAAAATCCTTTATAATAAACCAGTAAACATAGTCAGTTTTGTGTTTCCTGTTGAGGGTAAGCGGCCACTGTCTGGGCCGGTGGCTCACAGGTAAAAGAATTTACCACGACAGTTGTAGGTAAAGAAAGGCAGATTTATTAGAGAAAGTAGGAAAATACATTGCAAGAGAGCAACGGGTAGAATCAGCAAAAGAGGAACTGACTTCGAGGAAACGAAGGCTTGCTGGAGATTTTATAGGATGGTTCTTGATCTGTTTGATAACGCCAAGGTAGCAGGGAGCTAACTTGCATTCTTCTATCAGCCGAGGTGTTTGATGATGAATTGGAGTGTTTGATGATAAGCAGGAAGTTTATGAGTTATGTACGTTATTTGCTCAAGAGGACTATATGTCCTGGGCCATAAAGAAAGACAGGGCCATAACTTAAACTTACCTGCGTCTTCTTTTTGTTTATATGCCCTGGACCAACTCCTTTTCCCTAATTAGGACTGCACATTTCCCTGAACTTTTTTTTTTTTTTTTTTTTTTTTTTGAGACGGAGTCTCCTCTGTCGCCCAGGCTGGAGTGCAGTGGCACAATCTCAGGTCACTGCCACCCCCGCCCCGGGTTCAAGCAATTCTCCTGCCTCAGTCTCCTAAGTAGCTGGGATTATAGGCACCCATCACCATGCCCGGCTAATTTTTTTGTATTTTTCGTAGACACAGGGTTTCACGATGTTGGCCAGGTTGGTCTCGAACTACTGACCTCAGGTGATTCACCTGCCTCAGCCTCCCAAAGTTCTGGGATTACAGGCGTGAGCCCCGAGCCAGGCTGACAATCTTGGCTCACTGAAACCTCTGCCTCCCGGGTTCAAGTAATTCTCCTGCCTCAGCCTCCCGAGTAGCTGGGACTACAGGTGTGCGCCACCATGCCCGGCTAATTTTTGTATTTTTAGTAGAGACGGGGTTTAACCATGTTGGCCTGACTGGCCTTTAACTCTTGACCTCGTGATCCACCCACTTCGGCCTCCCAATGTGCTGGGATTATAGGCGTGAGCCACCACGCCTGGCCGACAATCATTTTTAATACAGTTTTAGAGGTACAGAAGAGTTAAGATACTACCTGTAATTCCATGTACTGTCACCTCCTCAACCCCGCAGTTTTCCCTGTTATTCACATCTTGCATTAGTGTGGTACATTTGTAAAAATTAATGAACCAATAGTGATATATTACTATTAATTATAGCCTACAGTTTACAGTAAGGCTCACTGCTTTGTGTTGTACATAGGGGTTTTGGCAAATAGATCATGATATATATCCACCAGTGCAGCTTCGTACAGTTTCATTCCGTTTCACCTGTGCTTCAGCGATTCATCTTGCCTTTCCCTCTGCCTGAACCTCTATCAACCACTCATTTTTTACTGTCTTTGTAGTTTTGCCTTTTTTTTTTTTTTTTTTGGACACAGTGCCTCACTCTGTGACCCCGGCTGGAGTGCCACGGTGTGATCACTGCTCACTGCAGCCTCCACCTCCCAGGCTCAGGTGATCCTCCCATCTCAGCCTCCTGGGTAGTTAGGACCACAGGCACATGCCACCATGTCTGACTAATTTTTAGGATTTTTTTATAGAGACACAATTTTACCATGTTGCCCAGTGTGGTCTTGAACTCCTGGGCTCAAGCAATTTGCCCACTTCAGCCTCCCAAAGTGCTGGGATTTACAGGTGTGAGCTATCATACCAGGTCTAGTTTTGCCTTTTCTAAAATGTCATATAGTTGGAATCATGGAGTATGTAGTCTTTTCAAACTGGCTTCTTTCACTTAGCAATTTGTATTTAAGGTTCCTCCATGTTTTTTTGTGGTTTGATAGTTCCATGGATTGCAGTGCCAGTTTGCTTAATTCCTTCACCTACCGAAGGGTACTTTCATTGTTTTTAGGTTTTAGCAATGATGAAAAAAGCTACTATGAACATTTCATGTGCGGATTTTTGTGTGAACATGTTTTGAACTCAATTGGTTAAATAACTAGGAGCATAATTGCTATGTCATATAAGCTTTATAAGCTTTATAAGAAACTGCCCAGGCGGAGCACAATGGCTCATGCCTATAATCCCAGCACTTTGGGAGGCTGAGGTGGGTGGATCACCTGAGGTCAGGAGTTCAAGACCAGCCTGGTCAACATGGTGAAACCCCATCTCTACTACAGATACAAAAAATTAGCTGGGTGTGGTGGCAGGTGTCTGTAATCCCAGCTGTTTGAGAGGCTGAGGCAGGAGAATGGCTTGAACCTGGGAGACAGAGGTTGCAGTGAGGCGAGATCGTGCCATTGTACTCCAGCTTGGGCAACAAGAGTGAAACTCCGTCTAAAAAAAAAAAAAAAAAAGGAGAGAGAGAGAGAAAGAAACTGCCCAACTGTCTTCCCGTTTTTCACCATTTTGCATTTCCACCAGCAATGAATGAGTATTACTGTTGCTCCACA